TTATTTCCGTTTCGATAAGCAAATATATCATGGTTACAAAAGTTCTATCCATCGCATATAGGCTTAAGGACATCGTGGCATAACCATCGAGGTGAAGTCTGGACCTACTGGACCTAAAAGATCGAATCGAATGGAATGATACATAGACAAGGAAATCTCTTATGAATTCCAGGATATTCCTTTAATTGTAAATTAAGAGGGTTCCTCATTCGAGGGGGGTAGACTACTCAAAAAATTTACATTTCATTTCTGTTGTAATTTAAAATTGGACAAATAATTCATAAAATCGAAATAAAAAAAGAATGCATCAATAAAATGTTGCTTGGTCTTTATTGTATTGAGAAATTGAGTAAAGAGTAAAACTTTTTTTTTAGATTAGAGTTTATAGAACTTGAATGCGGAAACCCCTTATTTGGTGTAACTACTTTAGTCGGATGAGAGGAAACTTTCACGTCCGATTTTGAAAGGGGGAGATCCTATTGGATAGGATCCTATCCAAATTTTTCGTTTGCTAGGCTCGTAGTTAAAAAACCCACTTTCTTACGATTACGAGGTTCATTTGAATATGAAATCCAATCCTGGAAATACAACATCCCGCTTTTTTTTACTACCCAAGGTTTCAATATATTTCGAAATCGAGAAATTTCTAGTGGAGCGGGTGCTATCCGAGAACAATTAGTCGATCTAGATTTGAGAATTCTTATTGATTCTTCGTTGGTAGAATGGAAAGGATTAGCGGAAGAGGGATCCACGGACAATGAAAATGAATGGGAAGATCGAAAAGTTGGAAGAAGAAGGAATTTTTTAGTTCGGCGTATGGAATTAGCTAAGCATTTTATCCGAACAAATATAGAACCAGAATGGATGGTTTTATGTCTCTTACCTGTTCTTCCTCCCGAATTGAGACCTATTATTCAAATAGACGGGGGTAAACTAATGAGCTCGGATATTAATGAACTCTATAGAAGAGTTATCTATCGAAACAATACCCTTATTGATCTATTAACAACAAGTAGATCTACGCCAGGGGAATTAGTCATGTGTCAGGAGAAATTGGTACAAGAAGCCGTAGATACACTTCTTGATAATGGAATCCGTGGACAACCAATGAGAGATGGTCATAATAAGGTTTACAAATCGTTTTCAGATTTAATTGAGGGCAAAGAGGGACGATTTCCTGAGACTCTACTTGGCGAACGGGTTGATTATTCGGGGCGTTCTGTCATTGTCATAGGTCCATCACTTTCATTACATCGATGTGGATTGCCCCGCGAAATAGCAATAGAACTTTTCCAGACATTTGTAATTCGTGGTTTAATTCGAAAACAATTTGCTTCGAACATAGGAATTGCTAAGAGTAAAATTCGGCAAAAGGAACCCATTGTATGGGAAATACTTCAAGAAGTTATGCGGGGACATCCCATATTGCTGAATAGAGCGCCCACTTTGCATAGATTAGGCATACAGGCATTCCAACCCATTTTAGTAGAAGAGCGTGCTATTTGTTTACATCCATTAGTTTGTAAGGGATTCAATGCAGACTTTGATGGGGATCAAATGGCTGTTCATGTGCCTTTATCCTTGGAGGCTCAAGCAGAAGCTCGTTTACTTATGTTTTCTCATACGAATCTCTTGTCTCCGGCTATTGGGGATCCCATTTTCGTACCAACTCAAGATATACTTATTGGGCTTTACATATTAACGAGCGGGAATCGTCGAGGTATTTGCGCAAATAGGTATAATACGCGTAATTGCAAAAATTATAAAAATGAAAGAATTCACGAAAATTACTATAAGTATACGAAAAAAAAAAAACCTTTTTTTTGTAATTCCTATGATGCAATTGGAGCTTATCGACAGAAAAGAATCAATTTCGACAGTCCTTTGTGGCTCCGGTGGCGACTAGATCAACGCTTTATTTCGTCAAGAGAAGCTCCTATCGAAGTTCACAACGAATCTTTAGGTACCTATCATGATATTTATGAGCATTATCTAGTAGTAAGAAGTATAAAAAAACAAATTCGTTGTATATATATTCGAACCACTGTTGGTCATATTTCTTTTTATCGAGAAATCGAAGAAGCTATACAAGGCTTTTGCCGAGCCCATTCATAGGATATCCAATCATATACATAGATGGGTTGGTATCTAAGCTACGTCAATTTAGGATATCGGTGTGAATTCCGGTCTTCCCGGTTCAACTATATGATCCTAACTTATAAATTTATACGCGAATCAAGTTAAAGAAAAGGAAGTTTTACAATCATTGACTCAAATCCATTGTTGAACCGAACTCCACTGAGCGGAATATAGAGGTACTTATGGCAGAACGGTCCCATTTAGTCTTTCACAATAAAGTTATAGGTGGAACTCCCATTAAACGACTTATTAGAAGATTAATAGATCATTTCGGAATGGCATATACATCACACATTCTGGATCAAGTGAAGGTACGGTGGAATGAAAAGAAGGAGAAAAGAGAGGGTGTTGGTTACCTGAAGAAGAGAGAAAAAGAGTG